ACAATTACAAACACACCCTTGTTGTGATTTGTTAATCTAATCAATTATGTAATTTGTAAATTAACAAACCACACATTTTATTAGATCACAAGTTTATGTTACTTAGGATGATTCTATTTTTCTTCATAAATGAATCATTTGCAATCATACCCTAATTTACTAATTAGTACCTACTTAGTAAACATTAACACTCCAAATCACCAACACACACACACACACACACACACACATTCAAGCAGAGCTTTCCAGAAAGACAAAAACCCAAATTCCCTCTGTATCTATCTCTCTGCACATTGTATCTATCGCCGCTCACCTCCAGTGCGTATATTTGGTGTGTGAAAAATCTTGATGTGCGCTGTAATAATATGAAAAAGGGGGCGAGCAGAAGATGGGCGTGGCTAACAAGGCCTGGAGGTGCAATGGCGGAGGAGCGCCGGTGAATAATCCGGCGGCCGAAATCCTGAAGCAGCAGCTGTCCCCGAAGCAGCATCATTGTTACAATTACTTGTCCTTTCGGCGGCGGTCGGCGGTGCCCTGGACGGCGGTTTGCGGGCTGCTGCTCTTTGCGGTTGGGCTTATTTCTCTTTTCACGGGACACGTGGCGTCTGATCTCGAGTGGTACTCCCAGCGCCTCGTGAAGCGGACTTGGTACTATAAGACGGTATGGCTGGTTCTGGATTTTTCGAGCTGGGCTGTCTGTGTATCTGTGTGTGCAAGTTTGTTATTTTTCCTCATTCTGTGTTTTTCTCAGGTCTTGAGTGAAATGTGGAAAGCCTTGAGAAGTGGTTTCATGTTTTTTCTTTTCGCATGTGACATGAAAGTCGAATTTGGACTGGACTCACCTGTTGTATTTTTGCTCATTTTACTTTAGCTTTGTTCTGTAGATAACCTAAAGGTGTTGGGTAGGTGGCTTGCCCTTTGGGTAAACTTTGAGGGTCTTCACTGCTGATAAGAAATTTATGGGTTTTGGTTTTTAATAGTAGTTTCTCCAAGTTTGATCTCAATCTTTCTATTTGCTGTGATTTTTTTGTGTCTTCCAAGTGGCTTGGGCTTACACAGTGGTCATAATCAGGTTTTATGAGAGTTGAGGGATAAAAAACTCTTATACTCGATAGTGCTTATGTTTGGAACTCGGAAGTTATTTTTTGGTAATTTGAATTTTTTTATGAGCTGTTTGAAGGGTGTTGTTCTGATGATGTTTCAGTTAAGAGTCTGCTGTATCAATTGTCTATATGATGGTCCTACGGATCAGTTCTTTAAAGAATGTGACTCTGCTGGCTTTCTGAATCTTGTGATTCCTGTTAAACCGATCCTTATGCTCTGATGGATACTTATTACATTCGGCAAGTGAAACCATTCGTCTTTCCAAAAGTATTTGCATGTACATTTAAAGCTGCATTAACTCATATGAGGAAATGATACAAAAGTGCAAAGGAATTATCCATGACATCCAAGCATGGTTCTTTAAGAATTTGATTAAAAAAATTCCCAATGAAACATGATGCTGTAGATTAATCACATAATAGGAGAAATTATATCGTACAGTACCTTGTAGTTCTGTTTCCTTCAATTTATAGTTCTCCATTTTATGCATTGGTGGGTCATTTATTGTCAAAATTCAGTCATCTAGTTTGTGCAAACGGGGTATTATTTTATTCGGAAGTGGACATTGCCTAAGTTGGTCCATAAGTATATTATGAAAGTTAAAGCAAAAAAGGTCTAAAGTCATGGCATTGCTAAAATCAGTTGCATCTCTTGGAACAGAGGTTATTAAATCTTTCAGGGTTATGGAGGTGGTTGACATTTTGCTCTTTTGTGGCAATATAACACCTAAAAGAGAGGTGAGACCTGTATTTGGAACAGTAACGACAAATGAGCATAATGTTTCTGTTTATGGCCATAACTCATAATCTTCATGGCTCCTAACGTGCATTTTTGGTTGATTTATTTTTTGTTCCAATAGTTGTATGGCGCTATTTTTGATATTTTGGGACTTCAACAGAGATGAATGCTATATTTTTACACATCTTATTTTACGCTAGTTTTTTAAATAAGCTTCTGCTTAGCACTTATATGCTTATATGCCAATTACTGATTCACAGTTTCTTGATGTTAACGCAATGCAGGATAGACGTGATCGTGCTCCAATTGATATATGGAAATCAAAGTATTCAAACTTTTATTATGGCTGCAGTAATAGAGGCCCTCATTTTGCGCGTAAGTTGGCCAAATCCTGCTTCAGATTTCTCAAAATTTGGAAGATGAGTTTTTTGCCATTACACAATTGTTATAATGATTCTGTAATTGTATGGGCTTTAATGGTTGCTTACGATTCTGTCGCAGTTCTATCACTTGAATCTGGGTTTGCATCTCTGATTGATATTTTTATTGTAACATAGTCAGTGTTAAGATGTGACTATGAGTTGGTTTTTGCAACTTTGTGTAAGAAAAGGTTCTCAAATAATGTATATACAGATATACGGAACACACAAGATTTGTTTCTGCATTTCGCGACCCATGATCTCTATGGGTGCTGTTTCTAATTAATGTCGCTTTCCATATCAAACTGTCAAGGATGTTCAAGTTTGGATCAATCCAGATATATATTGACAAAAATAACTCTAGATTGAGTTTAAGATATGGCTCCAAATGAGTAATTAAGAGTCATAATTTAATTAGTTTAATTTACTTTTCATTGTTTACTTGAATGCGATAGTCTGCATCTTGCATTTGTGAAGTGGTGAAAATTTATGATCTAAACCCATTAATTATTGATCAATAGCTCCTGTACGCGAACGCTTTTCAAATGGCTACTTACTAATTGCTACTAGTGGGGGGCTCAACCAACAAAGAACTGGAGTAAGTGTTTGTTTACTCAAGTCAGGTTATTCCTTATGTAACCTTATTTGGTAGCTTGTACTAGTTTTTAATTCTTTCCGTTATTACACATCCCTCAGTAACCTGAGTTCTTCATGTCCACTTTATGATATTCACTCTGTGATTAAGAATCTAACTTGTTCATTAATCTGTGATCTTTAGATAACTGATGCTGTAGTTGTCGCAAGAATTCTAAATGCTACTCTGGTTGTGCCAGAATTGGATCATCACTCGTACTGGAAGGATGACAGGTTAGTTGAGATTTTACAAATATAAAGATCCTTCATTATCTGATCATGGTAACACTTAACTTCTACGGTCAAGTAGATAAAGTCTAAAATAATGTTTTTGCTGTTGGGTTTTGTTTCGATAATGACTCAAGTTAAATTGATGTTCATAATACTTGATTATGCTTTCATTTAAAGTAGTGATTCCAGTATTTGATTGTGGTTTGTATTAAAATAATATTACGGTCATTTTCTCATCAAGATATTACTTGCTTATGCAGTGATTTTGTCAACATCTTTGATGTTGACTGGTTCATTTCTTACCTTTCCAAGGACGTCCCAATTGTTAAAAGGGTGCCAGAAAAGGTGATGAGGTCAATGGATAAGCCACCATATACCATGCGTGTTCCCCGAAAATCGGAACCTGACTATTACCTGGAGCAAGTGCTGCCAATTCTATTAAGAAGACGTGTAAGTGAAGGCTTAGTAATATAAATGATTTGGAAATTATCTGGATCTTAAAATTTAATAGTGAAGCTCACGGTTTGTGCGAACAATCTTATATGATAACTTAGAGATCATCAGTGCTCCGGCGCAAGTGCATCTGCATGTGCTCTCAGATCTGATGTTTATCCTGCAGCCACTATCCACACTTCCATGCATCTACATTCCCATTTTTCTATATAATTAGGAATATTAGTTTGTTTTTGCCAAGTTCTTTAGGTTCCTAATTCTTCTATGTTTAATAATCATCCTGTGACTCAGCCTGCCAGAAATAGGACATAATTATATTCATGACTATTATAATATTGTGAACATGTGAAATTAAGTGCTTGTTTGATGAAAAAGATTGAATGTGATAGGTAAACGCTCTGTACTTCTCTGTTAAATTTTCAGCAGGTTTACGAAAATTTATTGTAATTATATGTCGGTTTGTATTGCTGCTATGGGAAGCTTACATGTGGTTCTGGTACTAAATTTCAGTAAAGGAACTAAACAAAGTACATGTCTACTTTTTCCTTCTGGGAAATCCCAAAAAGAATGTCCTTACTGGAACTGAAAAAATTATCCTTCCATTTAGCCAACGATATAACACAAATAACCTCATCTATTTTGAGAAAGAGTAATCATGCACAAAATTGCCTGTTCTTATATCTTATTGGAACATCATTTTGAGTCAAATGGAGCTATGATA